TCTGCTGTCGCGCTGTCCTTACTGTTTACAACCAGCACTGTGAACGCTTACAATGGAGTTTACGCCGTCCTGATTACGAGACAATAGTTCTGGGTGGCACATGTGGCTTTCAAGTACAGCCATCGATCAGGTATCGCGATCCCATCTGACCTGCCAGTGCTCCGGGGATGTCAAGCTTGAGTGGAGTGAGTGGTTGGGTGGGGAGTGAGTGACTGAGTGAGGTGAGGACTGGGGGGAGTGAGTGGGGTGGAGGGAGTGAGTGGGTGGGTGGGGGTGAGTGGATGGGTGGGTGGTGAGGGGAGGAGTGGGTGGGGAGTGAGTGGGTGGGTGTGAGTGAGTGGGTGGAGTGGGTGAGTGGGTGGAGGAGTGGGTGGATGGGTGAGTGAGTGGGTGGGTGAGTGAGGTGTGGGTGTGAGTGGTGGGTGGGGGAGTGGGTGGGTGGGTGGGTGGAGTGGGTGAGTTAGTGGGGAGGAGTGGATGGATGGGTGGTGGGTGAGTGAGTGTGAGGGTGGGTGGGTGGGTGGTGGAGTGAGTGGGTGAGTGGGTGGGTGGGTGGGTGGGTGAGGTGAGTGAGTGGAAGGAGTGAGTGAGTGGAGTGAGTGGATGGGTGGGTGGTGAGTGAGTGAGGGGTGTGTGGGGGGTGGGTGGGTGGGTGGGTGGTTGGATGAGTGAGCTGGTGTGTGGGGAGTGAGTGGGTGGGTGAGTGAGTTGAGTGAGTGGGGAGTGAGTGAGTGAGTGGGTGGGTGGGTGTGTGAGTGTGTGAGCGAGCTTAGCATTATTACAGCGGAGGACGGAGGACATTAGAAATAGGCTTCATACATTGTGCCGATGTCTCGAATCAGTGAATTTCATTAGGATAACAATCCAAATAATCCAGTAGAAAGTTGCGTCTTTTTTCTCACTCAGTTGTTAACATAATACATACTTTAATATTTATGAGAATATACTTTGTATATGCATTGAAATAAACTATGTGAGATTTAAAACATTTAATTTATTGTAATTGGTAGAATTTATACTTATTTCGTATTACGAATACATTTGGTTATGTGTTTTATACCGATTATTTCAGATTTGAAACAACGTTTTCTATTTTTTTTAATTGTTTGAATATGATATGCACTTTGTATTACGAGTAAATATATTCATGTTTTTAAAAAAATATATATCACAATTATGAAACGATATCGTATTTATAGTAATTGCTGGAAACATATTTATTTTCCCTAATATGGTGGCCTATATATGGTTTTAAGTGTTATATAAACATGTTACAATTAAGAAAGGAAGTTCTTATTGATTGTGAATGTTTCTCGGCAAGACAATCCAGTGATTGATATTAGGAGTGACGATCAACGCAGACTGCAAACAACAACCCGAGTGAGTGAGTCAGCGAGTTTAGTTGTACGCCGCTTTTTGCAATATTCCAGCAAGACAGCAACATCACGGCGGGGGACACCAGAAATGGGCTTCACACATTGTTCCTATGTGGGGAATCGAACCCGGGTCTTCGGCGTGCCGAGCGAACGCCTTAACCACTAGGCTACCCCACCGCCCCCTACAAGAACACGAAACAGTGTGGTGACAAGACTGCCCTGTGGACCGACCGACTGTACTTCGTGCGAACCGTAAATCGAAACAAGTTTGAGTGAGTGAGTGAGTTTAGTTTTACGCCGCTTGAAAGCAATATCGAACCAGGGTCTTCGACATGACGAGCGAAAGTTTTAACCACTGGGCTATCCCACCGCCTCTGGATCGAAACAAACGAATTATCGACGATGATACGGACTCTGCCAAGACAAACGTTACATATTCTTAATAGGCAGTGGCCTAGCCGGATGGTTAAAGGTTCGCAGATGCTATGGGCCAGGTTCGAACTCCAACATGTGTGAAAGGTGTAAAGAACATTTAGGGTGCCCTAAACTGTGCCTCATACTTCGTATAAGACAGAACATATTATCGCAAATGAATTTCGTGAAGTTTAACGGGTTTGGGATAGGAACAAGTCGTCACATCCTCGATAATCTCCAGGGTATACGTTACGATCACTCTCCACTATACCCTGGATGCATCCACGGCTTGGCCCGTTGATTTATTACCTTCCTTGGCTGGCTTTTTATCCAATCAGGTGTCTACGCTGGGAAGTTGAGCGAACCAATCAAAACTCACTTTCGCTTCTTAAATTATCTAACCGTTTAAACTTAGCAACACAGTTGATGCAGATGTACTCTGGAAGAGGTAGAAGGAGTTCTTTCATATATTTTTTCAGATCTGTCAATTTGTCTGTATGATTTCCTCAAAAATCTGAGTGGCACTAACAAACCTTCACGACTGCGACCGCTATCTTTGTTGACACTGGCAAGCTCGGATGTAACGGCGGCTTAGCTGATTGTCTACTGTGAGAATGCGGAGCCAGCAAAGGGAGGTAATATGATTATCAAGCACTGGATGCATCCAGGGTATAGTGGAGAGTGATCGTAACGTATACCCTGGAGATTATCGAGGATGAAGTCGTCACTGACGGACATTAGTTGTAAAAACAAAAGGGCTGACGAGGAACATATCCCCCGATTAAAGATAGAAAGGTAGTGGCATAGTGCACCACAACCCCAGTCTAAAGGCGGTGAGGAAGCCTAGTGGTTAAAGCGTTTGCTCGTCATGCCCGGGTTCGATTCCTCGCATGGGTGAGTGAGTTTAGTTTTACGCCGCACTCAGCAATATCCCAGCTATATGGCGGCGGTCTATAAATAATCGAGTCTGGACCAGACATCCAGTGATCAACAGCATGAGCATCGATCTGCGCAATTGGGAATCGATGACATGTGTCAACCAAGTCAGCGAACCTGACCACCCGATCTCGTTAGTCGCCTCTTACGACAAGCATAGTCGCCTTTTGTGGCAAGCATGGGTTGCTGAAGACCTATTCTACCCCGGATCTTCACGGGTCTCCTCGCATGGGTGCAATGTGTGAAGCCAATTCATTGTGATATTGCTGGAATATTGCTAAAAGCGGTGTACTCACTCACTCACTCACCCACAACCCCACCTACAACTACGCAGACTGTAAACCCATAGCAAAGCAGCGTAAAACAAGACTACCACATCATCTTGAACGATTCATCAACCTCGAGAAAGCCTTCCTGGATAGATCTGCTGCGTCATATCAAAAGACTTAAAAAGATGGTAATTGTTATTACCCTGCCTGGTGCCAGCATTGTGGGATAATACCTGGACTGGTCGTCTCACAGTCAGTACACTGTGTCGTTCGCTTAATCGGGCATCCGGGTCAAACAAAACAGCTTATACTCGTGTTACGTCACATTAATCCATAGGCTACTGAGATAGGGCCGGAGGGCAGACTAGTATCTAAAGCGTTCGCTCGTCATGCCGAAGACCCGGTTCGATTCCCCACATGGGTACAATGTGTGAAGCCCATTTCTGGTGTCCCCCGCCGTGATATTGCTGTAATATTGCTAAAAGCGGCGTAAAACCATGCTCACTCACTCCATAGGCTAGATGTATATAACCGGATATAGTCCTGGCTTTTGCATACAGCCACACACTCAAACCCACGTCATTGTCATAGCGCATTAATTTTCATGGCGACATTATATCAGTTTTACCTGACCTGATCCTTGTACCAAGTATATACATATCAGGATCTATCCTGAAACTATTAACAATGGCAGGGTGTTCTGACCACACGTATAACGGCATTTTGTGTACAAATGTATGTATTCTCAATATTTATTGATGCCCTATTAATAGGGATGTAATAACATAAGAGCGTATGGTTATCAACAGTTGCATTAATATGCAATCATAGACAAAATTATAAAGAAATATCCATTTGATATTTAGAGGAGTCGGGGATATATTTTTTTCAAAGGTTAGTTTATTAAAACTACCACCGAAACGAGTAGTTTGTTGACAGTAGTAAAACAATTATAGCTTCTTTGCATCTTGTTTCTATCGAGTGAATGCTCCCTGACTACGTATGAGTGAGTATGGTTTTGCGATGCTTTTAGCAAATTTCACGGCGGGGGACACCAGAAATGGGCTTCACACATTGTACCCACGTGGGGAATTGAACCTGGGTCTTCGGCGTGACGAGCGAACGCTTTAACCACTAGGCTACCCTGACTCCGTATGACATTTGGTTGTTTAGCAGACAGTTGAAAGGGGTTAAGTATTCAAGGAATATCATATTTTAGTAACACGATCTGTTGAATAATTGATAACGGCAGTTCCAGTCCCTAATCAACAATCTGTAACTAGGGTAAAAATCAACTGGCTAACTAATATTTCATTATGTATGAGGTATATTAGAAATATTGATTTTATCTGATTTCATGTCTAAAATTGAAATTATGTTACAAATATTCCCAGAGTCGTTTGGGACGAGATTAACCATATGGCTAACTGACTGACTGACTGAGTATGGTTTTACGCCATTTTTAGCAATATTCAAGCAATATCACGGCGGGGGGACACCAGAAATGGGCTTCACAAATTGTACCCATGTGGGGAATCGAGCCCGGGCCTTCGGCGTGACGAGCGGACGCTTTAACCATTAGGCTACCCTTACCGCCCAATATTTGGCTTACTAAAATTCGTTGTGCGGGAGCTATATTTCAAATACTGAGTTGATTTGATTTTGTGTCTAAAATATAATACTATGTTACACATAACTCTCATATTCTGTAACTGAAGACAAGTTCAACCATATGGCTAGATCTATCTAATATTTCGTTATGGATGAGATTCATATAACAAAATTGATTTTTTTATTTAATCTATAAATGTAACACTAATAATTTGCTTGATCGACAAGGATACTCATTCACTTCTGAAAGTTTCACGATCGATTGATGTAGTCGACATAAACTTTTGTACCTTCTCAATATCGATATCCTTTAAACGAGAAGCAGGCGGCTTGGCTTCTATCAGTGACAATTTCGTCGATCTAGCTTGTTTCTAATCCAGCTCTCAATACTTACCCTCAGCAGTTTTTCTGAAACAATCCACCATTTCCGATCAAAACGCCTCAATCCCAAGTAATAGATCCAATAGCTTATCATCCCACACAATGTAAAGCAGAAGTTACAACACCGTTTAACTGTAGCTGGATATGTTCGTCCAAGCAGACGACAAATCGCTGTCGAGCAGACGACACTTCCACTGCGCACGGACAGCTCGTGCACAAATTGCAGCATGGAACGACTGCAACAGCTGGTGTTAGCACCTCGTCGGCAGAGGAAAGAGGTGCTTTCAATGGTTTCTGCTGGTGTCAACTACATTTATTGACGATACCAGCCGGCCAGTATTCCGAATTCTGCTTATTAGCTTTTATATTAGTTTCCGGAGCAATTATCTGTGCCGCCATTCGAATTCATCCCAGAAAGCATGTTTTCTGATGCAATCTCATTTAGTTGGATATTGGAACACAACAACAATATTCAAAACAGAACTAGAAAACAGATAATAGGAAGAACAATATTAAGGTGTTTAGAAATTAATGGATCATTACGGCCACGTATGTTATATATGACATTCATATTCTAATTTCAGACATTCCCACAGCTATCACTGTTGAAATATTAATTTTCATTATAGCATCCAGAAAATATATCTTTATCGGTTGATTCATGATATAGACACCGCCTCCGTGGTGTAGTGGATAGAGCGTGTGACAGAGAGCGGATGGTGGGTGGTTCGATGCTCGGTCGAGTCAACCAAAATACGTTAAAAGGCGGTAATTATTGTTACCTTGTCTTAGGCTCGATATTTAGGGGAAAACACAAGACTCGTCTCTGAGTCTGTGAACTGTGTCTGAGTAAGGCATTCGTGGCACGGGTGCTCATTGGGTAGCAACATGTCGAACGCCTTGTTAAATCTCATTCGACCTCAACTCAGCTCAACCAAGTATTGAGAAGTATATAATATACATAGTATGACAAACATCAGATGAACACGACTTGATTGACACATGTCATCGGTTCCCAATTGCGCAGATCGATGCTCATGCTGTTGATCACTGGATTGCCTGGTCCAAACTCGATTATTTACAGACCGCCGCCATATAGCTGGGATATTGCTGAGTGCGGCGTAAAACTAAACTCACTCACTCACTCATGTTTGTCACAACATACTATGAATATTTTCTTCTCATCATTTGCTTGTAGTCACTTTTAGCTTGATTACGGAGTAAGAATATAAACCAAAACGTCGCTCTATTCAATAAACAAGAAGCTGTTAGCCACAAAGTCGTACACTTTATTAATTTAGCTATTTGACTGCGGTCTGTAAATAATCGGGCCTGGACCATGAAACGATGACATGTGTCAACCAAGTCAGAAAGCCTAACGACACGACAATTTCGCCCAGCGTCCGATGATTAAAAAACAAAATATTGTAGTAACAATTATAAAAATAAAATTACACAAAATAATGACGTGATTTTACAGAAACTATAAGAAATTATAATTATCTTTCACGGAAAGATAAGCCCCCTATCCTACATCATGTAAGTCCAACTCTTTTCAATTAATCGGTGGCCTTGATGGGTCCAGTCGCCTGTGTAGAGTTGCGTCCCTTGAGTATGTCAAAAACCTGTCATCGTTGGTTTTATTAAAGAGGAAACGGTCTGGGACCTGATATCACTTCAAATTTCAATCACATGTCTTGGTATAACTTGAATACTATCCGGGGTTAAACCTAACTCACTCACTAACTTTGTCGCGAGAGGGTAACAGACTGTAACCAGTGTTCGAAATAGTTTCCCAATTCTGCTAGACAGTCGGGATAGCTATGCCTGAAAGTTACTAGCCCACAAAATAACTCATTAAATATCCCTAAATTTGAATGTAGAAACTAAGCAACAGATTAAAAAATAGATGAGAATGAGATATTGTCGGCATGACACGGGTTTCATCATTAATATAATGAACATTTGTATCAGGCCATAATCTTGCATGATTTAAATGTGTATTATAACTTAACAAGTAAGAGAGAGTGACATATTTACAAAATGACCCCATGGAAATTCACTAGCCAGTCACTGTGGAGACTTACTGGCCCGATTGGATTTTTGCTAGCCACGGGCTAGCGGGCCAGTGGTTATTTCGCCCACTGACTGTAACACACCCAACTTTCACCAGAAACCCGCCCTCGCTACTCCTCTCCCACAGCAGTGCGAATTGGCCAATGGCCGCTCAATACGAACACCTGACACACGCCGTATACAGCGACTGCGCCGGGGCCTCATGAATGTCACAATATGTTTCATTAAAAGCATAATTACCAAAGACGCCATGAATAGACGTTGACTGTACATATTGACTTGATGTATGATTACCACCGTATGATACACGGCGCTAGCTCAATACAGCGCAAAGAGAGGTGCGGAGTTGTACAGTCTACTTACATGCATGGCCTATTGATTGTCTAACCTGGTGTTTGTTACCTTAAGTGCACAAGCACGTATGACCTTCGGGGTATCATTAAGGGAATATCACACTTGGATATTTTGGAGTGTTTTACAAGTTGGTTTAAAAACACCAGGTGTGTAGTCTGGTTTCAAGGGAGTGCCTTGTTCAGAGATTTGTTTCAAGGGAGCGCCTTGTAGGGAGATTTGTTTCAAGGGAGTGCCTTGTAGGGAGATTTGTTTCAAGGTAGTGCCTTGTAGGGAGATTTGTTTCAAGGTAGTGCCTTGTAGGGAGATTTGTTTCAAGGGAGCGCCTTGTAGGGAGATTTGTTTCAAGGTAGTGCCTTGTAGGGAGATTTGTTTCAAGGGAGCGCCTTGTATGTAGATTTGCTTCAAGGAGAGCTTGTTCGGGAAATTTGTTTCAGGGGCGCGTCTTGTAGGGAGATTTGTGTCAAGGGAGTGCCTTGTAGGGAGATTTGTTTCGAGGGGGTGCCTGGATGGTAGATTGGTTTCAAGGGAGCGCCTGGTAGGTAGATTGGTTTCAAGGGAGTGCCTGGTTGGTAGATTTGTTTTAAGGGAGTGCCTTGCAGAGTGACTGGTTTCAAGGGCGTGCCTGGTAGGTAGATTGGTTTCAAGGGAGTGCCTGGCTGGTACATTGGTTTCAAGGGAGTGCCTGGCTGGTAGATTTATTTCAAGGGAGTGCCTTGTACGTAGATTTGTTTCAAGGGAGAGCCTGGTTTGGTAGATTTGTTTATAGGCGTGGCTGGTTGCAATATTTGTTTCAAGGGAGTGCCTGGTATGTAGATTGGTTTCAAGGGAGTGCCTTGTATGTAGATTTGTTTCAAGGGAGTGCGTGGTTTGTAGATTTGTTTCAAGGTAGTGCCTGGCTGGTAGATTTGTTTCAAGGGAGTGCCTTGTATGTAGATTTGTTTCAAGGGAGTGCGTGGTTTGTAGATTGGTTTCAAGAGAGTGCCTGGTTGGTAGATTAGTTTTAAGAGAGCGCCCGGTTGGCATATTGGTTTCAAGGGAATGTCTTTATGCGGATTTGATTCAAGGGAGCGCCTGGAAGGTATAAATGTTTCAAGGGAGTGCATGGACTGGACTACGAGGGTCCATCTTGCTGACCATTGCCAGCGTTATCAGCACACACTGTAGCGAGAGACCATGTAAACACTCACCGCCACGGACCAGCATATGCCTACATTACACATAAGTAACTCGACAGTGACGTCATCGGCGTGAAAGGGCGTGACGTCAACAGACACACAGGATTACCTTGTAACCGGTGTGCTGTAAGGCTTGATAAACAACATTAGCACGTAATGGTATTCGTACAACAGAGCTCCAGATAAGATTTAGCTCATGTGGGTACTGTACCAACTGTATTTTTTTGGAGTGGGTATTATGAATGTTGAGTGGGTATTTCATTTTCCGTTACCCACTGCTTTCAAATACGTGCGTATTTCAGTCATTTACTCACCTAAGTATTATGTCATTGAGTAAGTTTACGAAGCAGGTATGTTCTGCCTTATGTCATACCTAATCAAAACCAACTTAAATATAATGGAAATGATTTCATAAAAAATTACTCATCCTATACTGACAGTACAACACTAGTCCTATACTAACAGTACAACTTGATAGCAATCGATATCTTTTTTCATTACGCAAGCGATTTTTATAAATATATTCCGTACGCATTTGTTTTAAACTTTTTGCGTATCTAACATTTTAAATGCGCGATTGGTACGCAACAATTTTTTTCCAAAGCGTAATTGGAAATGTTCTATGCGTATTTTACCCGGATACGCAGCTTATCTGGGCCTCTGCGTACTAGGCGTCCAGCCAACCTATATGTGTGCTGCACACACTCACATATATTCCTAAACGAGTTTGATGAAATGTTATACCGTCACACAATAAATGACATCGTCATTCCCGCTTGCAATGTAGGGCTACTGGGCTAATGTTACATTCAGTTACAAATATACATTACATGTTTAATACATGTTTTCTCGCAGGGAAAGAAATGCTTAGCAATGGGATACAAGTAAGTCTGGTTTGAACAATGACGAATTGTTTATCTGTTCATAGGTTTTCGCGTAATACGGAGTGAGTGAGTGAGTATGGATTTACGCCGCTTTTAGCAATATTACAGCAATATTAGGCGGGGAGGGACCAGAAATTGGCTTCACACATTGTACCCATGTGGGACTCGAACCCGGGTCTTCGGCGTGACGAGCGAATGCTTTAACCACTAGGCTACCCCACCGCCCTAAATACGGGAGTGTATGGGTTTGTTTTAACACCTGTTCGAAAAATATATCAGTTGTGGTATGATCATTATGATTTATGTGACGTAACACGAGTATGAGCGAGCAAGTGAGTTTTGTTTTGCCGCTTTGAACATTAATCTGAATATATCACGGCATGCCTGCTTAATGTGGGAGCGAAACCCGACGTTTACGACTGTGGTGAATGATGAGTTTAAGGTACGCCGCTTTTAGCAATATTCCAGCAAATCCAGCGACGTTTACGACTGTGGTGAATGATGAGTTTAAGGTTTACGCCGCTTTTAGCAATATTCCAGCAATATCACAGCGGAGGCCATTAAAACATCAAAAATGGGCTTCACACATTGTACCCATGTGGGGAATCTAACCCGGGTTTTCGGCGTGACAAGCGAACGCTTTAACCACTAGGCTACCCCACCGCCCCGACTGTGGTGAAACCAACGAGTTCGGGTATGGCGTTGCCAAACCCAGAAGGGATTCGAACCAACCATCATGGGTTTCTGGCGTCGAAAATGGACGATTATTTTGTAAAGAATC